AAAACTAATTATTCTCTGGAATACTTTTATAATAAAAACTAAGTTGAAATGATTTATATACACTTCCAGCCAACACATTTGTGATTCAAGGTTAAAATTGTTCTTGTAACAGCCCCAGTTAAAACGCAATTACAGCTCCCCGAGCAGGGATAAAAGGAAGAAGTATTTTACACTCTCTTCAAAAGTTAAAAAGTCAATTTGATATTATAGAAATAAAAACTTTCATTTATTTTTACTAAATGATGAAGACTTCATTAGTTCCATTAAAGTTAAGATAAAGCCAAGTGTGTTCACCATCTCCTCCTGGAAATGGCTCAGGTGAATAGTGATGACAGATTAGGGATGTGGAGAGCATTTTCTTCTCGGCCGCCATTTTGTTCATGTCACCCCGCTGGCCCTGGCCATACGTGGTTTCCTTTCAGAACACAAAAGAGGACAAATTGATGATACTGGATACTTTGCTTGAATTGGCCTTGAACTTAACTAGCAGGAATTGCTGGGGACAAACTGTCACCACATTGGGTCCTCACTGCTGGCTTCTCGTTCACTGAATCATACTGTGGGCCCATTCAGTGTGACATGGTGCTGTTGAGAAAAACTGAGCCACTCAGATATGGGTTTCCAGTCTTTGACCTTTGGTTCCTTTGAGTCTCACGGGCCAGTTTCCTAGCTGGAGTCAGTAACATGATTGCCAACAGTAACAATGGCCCCAGCCTCACAAGACCTCTCTGATGACAAAGTAACAAAGCGCGTGCTACTTTGAGTATGGTGCCCACATATCATAAGAGCTTCTTTGTAAGTCTTAGTTGCTGGTGTCAGTGTTTGCCTACGCTACTGTTCTATTTCAGTGAAGAGACACCATGACCGAGCAACTCATAAAAAGACAGCATTGAATTAGAGGTTCCTTACAGTTTTGGAGACTTAGTCCATGATCATGGTGGGGAGCATAGCATCAGGCAGGCAGGCAGACACCAAAGCATTAGCTGAAGGCTTGCATCTTATCCAGAAGCCCGAGGCAGCATGAAAGAGACCTTGAGACTGGCATGGACTTTTGAAACCTCAAAGCCCACCCCAAGTGATGTGACTTCTCTAACACGCCCACACCTCTTAATCCTTCCAAAACAGTCTACCACTGGGAATCAAACATTCAAATACGAGCCTATGTGTCCATTCCTGTTCAAACCACCACAATAAAATAATAATATATTATTAATATTATCCTTTTAGGCTAAAAGTGCATTTTAAAACAATGTGTTCTAGTGTTTGTTGAACTGCCTGGTATAAAGTTTGATAAAATAACTAATAAAGAGAATGAGGAAGGGGCAGGACGCCACGTTCTCATTTGTAATCAGAGAGCACAGTCACCGTTAGCTACAGTCTTCATAAAATAAAATTAATTGTGGTGAGAACAGTATTTATTGAGTACTTCCTTGTATCAGGAACTATTTCAAACACTTTATATATAGCTACCCCTTAGAGAATGATCAAAAGCACACAAGGTAAGTACCATTGTTATCCCTGATGTACTACAAAGTCTCAGAAGGACAGGATACATGGGGAACCAGGAAGACAGCTCATTCTGAGAAATGCTTGAAAGCATGCGGACCTGAGTTTGGATCACCCAGTAACCTCCTCAGAAGCCAGATAGAACAGCACACGCCTGTAATTCCAGACCAGGGAGGCAGAGATAGGGAATTGCTGAGTATTGGTGCCAGCCAATCTAGCAGAATTGATGACCTCCAGGTTAGTGAGAGATTTGACTTCTCAAAGAGTAAAGTGGAGGGCGCTCAAAGGAGGCTCGTGACGTCAGCTGCCGGTCTCCACATTTACCTGCACATAGACATACAGGCATGTACATTTAAATATATACATAATACGTGCAAAAATAGGAGGAGTAAGTAAGGTGACCAAGACCGCACCTTTGTCCATTGGGATCTGAAAATGAAAGTTTGGACTCAAGAATTAAGAGTGGGGGTTTTAAGGAAGGAAAACGAGGCACAGGGCAGATGATCAAAAGCGGGAGATTGAGATGGTGCAACCAGAGCTGTAGCATGTCACATCATACAGCTCCTCCTCTTCTGGTCTTTGCCTTTCCCTGGACAATCCAAAATATAAGTGAAAGCCAGTTAATCCCAGCACTTGAGAGGCAGAGAGGCAGGCAGATCTCTGTGAGTTCGAGACCAGCCTGGTCTACAAGAGCTAATTCCAGGACAGGCTCCAAAACCACAGAGAAACCCTGTCTCGAAAAACCAAAAATAAATAAAGAAATAAAAATGAAATATACTTATATATGTTATATTACATATATATAATATATATTATGTATGAAGGTCAGTGGCGTTCTGACCCAGGAGATTTATTTCTCTACTGGCAGAACCAAGCATGGAGACTTTGTCCCAGTCCAAGAATCAGGGAGGTTACTACTCCGTCAACAACTGCGGCCATTATTACCAAAAGGATCGGCTACCGGCAATATCCATTCCTTTTAGAGGAATGCCAGCATTTAGCGAATGCTGCCAACCTTCCTAAAGGCGTTTGCTAAGCCTGCTAAGCCTGTCCTCCCACGTGAGCCCCTTTATGTGGCTGTCAAGGGACGCTATGATCCAGTTGACAATATAATATCATTTGGGTCATCAGTTCACTCAAAACCGCCACATCCTTCCTTCCAGATCTGCCAGGCGAGTTGAGTTAATGACAAGGCAGCCATATTGAGCTTTTAAACCGCAGCGTGTCATTAAGTTGTAAGAGCAATTTAAAGGAAGGCACTTTTGTGTTTAATTCACAACCTGCCTCTTTCTACAGTTATGTGACTGATTCTTTCCCCAAGGTTTCAGAAGTAAACTTTTCAGGAGTGAGTGCTAGTGGATAAGGAAGTACATACCAGGCTCTTCTCTTTGGCTCTAATCCCCCTCTGGCAAGACTGTCTCTTTGAGAAGACTTCCTATCTGACTTGGGTGTGGTAGTCCAGTCCGTGTTAATAACAAATCAAAAACCAAACAAGCAACAAGCAAATTCCCACCCTGAATGTCCCTCCCCCTTTATTCAACTCACTTCGCTATGGCTTATTTAAGCCACTTTTATTTTGCCTTTCCTGGACCTGGAGAGCAGCTGGTCAGCATCTTCTACAAGGGCCTTTTAATCAAATTGCGCCTCCCTCACCTTTTCTCCAGGCTGAACAGTTCTTCCTATGGCCTTTCCCATTGCCTTGCAAAATTTAAGCCTCCAACTTTTAATCATCTTGATTGGCCTTTACCTGGCCCTTCTCCGGCAGGTCCTTGTTAGTTCATTTCATAAAATTTTAGGAAGTCGTTCCTCCGAGAAAATCAGAAACCGGTACATTCATATTCTCTCTCTCTCTCTCTCTCTCTCTCTCTCTCTCTCTCTCTCTCTCTCTCTCTCTCTCTCTCTCTCTCCCTCTGTGTCATTTTGGTCATCCTGTCAAGCTAGTGGCATCACTGGGCTGGGGAACTTTTAGCCCCTTTGTTTGCATCTCAGTGGCATCAATGGCACGTATATTCACACCATCAACAGTCTAGGTGAAGGATTTCAGTTCTAGGAGTCTCCCAAGAACTGCATCTCTTTCTCATGCAAAGGAAGGAAGCCTCAAGTTATCGACAGTTGGTCATTTTCTGGGTCATTCTCTGAACTCTGTTAGGTCCAGCCTTGAAGATGACCCCTCCCCCCCGACTCAGACACTGCAAAAAATTCTGATAGTATTAATAATTGTCAAAGTTTTTACATACTAGTCTTGATGGCCAGCTACCTAGCTCCCCGAAGCCTACAACAGCTTCTAGCCCTCTTGCTTTTCTGCCCTTTCTTTGGTGACAAGATTATCTTTGTGGCTGACGAGAGCCATTGTGACAGCCAGTCAGTGCTCCATCTTTGCACACAGGAGAATGACCTTTCTTAATGATGCAGTGCTGAGGGCTACAAGGAATCCATCTTGATAGTCAGGATATGATTGTGGGGTACTGAGGTTTTTTTTCTTTTCTTTCTTGAAAATTTCATCAGTGTTCTTGTGGAAGATGTTTCTTCCCGGCCATCATGACAGCAGCTGATCTTCTTTAAGCACCTATGTTGTTCCAGATGAGCCAGGTAGAGTCCATCTTTTCAGGACCCTACATTGATAAGGCAGCTTGCGTTTTTAGAGAGTTTGTCTGTGACTAGCCAGCCATCTGGTAAATTTAGATCTGGGCAGTTGGACTTACCCACACAGCACTGAGCATCTTCATGACTTGGAATTTGATTTGGAGCACATGCACAGAGGCTTGCTTGTGAGAATTAACTGACATACATACATACATACACACATTGACTGACATACATACACACACACACACACATATTAGTTTTTCAAGACAAATTTTCTCTGTAGCTTTGGAGCCTGTCCTGGAACTAGCTCTTACCGACCAGGATGACCTCAAATTCACAGGGATCCACCTGCCTCTGCCTCTCCTGAGTGCTGGGATTAAAGGCATGAGCCACCACCGCCCGGCTGTAACTGCCGTTTCTTAAAATGTTAGCTTGTACTTTGAATGTTATATGTGGAGAAGTGTTTCGACCTCAGTCCTGTTGTTCAAACTCTGTCAGGTGAACACTGTTATGATTACCACTATTTGTGGAAGGAGAGTGGAGGCTCAGAGGGTCAGGGGAAGCCATGCGTGCAGGGCCTATAGTTCATACTTAGGCAGTTTACCGCGAGGACTTGCCGTAACTCTGCAGTTTTCCTCATAGTACTAAAGGTATTACTGGGACACTCTGCAGAAGGCACGTGTGGCTGAGAGCCCCATCCCACCCTCAGCTGAGAATGGTCCCCATTAGGGGTCAGGACAGAGATGCAGCCACTTGATATGGTTGCAGAAGGCTATCTACTATTGGGGTAGATCAGCTTTGGCCTGACCACTTGCCACTTTGTGTTCTGATCGCCCCATAGATGCCCTTTGGATCACAGAGCTTTACTAATTGCATTTTTCTCTTCCTCTCTCTGGTTCTCTGTCCAGCTTGAGGCTTTTTATTCCATCTTCACCACGGAGCAGCAAGACCATGTCAAGTCAGTGGAGTATCTGAGAAACAACTTCCGGCCACAGCAGGACCTGAATGACCGAGTGGTGTCCAAGTCCGCCGTCCGAGATGCCTGGAACCATGACCTGTCTGACTTCCTGGACAACCCACTGGGGACAGAAGCCTCTAAAGGTAAATGTTGACTGAGTTCTCTAGCCTGAGGGAGGAAGGTTTCTCATCATAAATTATAAAGGGAATAAAGACATGGATTTGGATCCTCAGAAGAGCCAGGCTTAGTACCATGCATCTGTAACGAGCTCCGGGAGTGGATGTAGGGTACAAAGACATGGAGAATGCACAGATCTCATTGACCAGTCAGTGTTTCCAGTCAGTGGGCTCCAAGTTCAGAGAGAGACACTGTCTCAAAAAATAAGGTAGAGAAAAGTTGAGGGAGACACCTGTTGTCAACCTCTGCAAACACACACACACAAGTTCAGAGTCAACCAAGAATTGGGACATGGTATTAAGATCATATGTTTCTCTGCAAAAAGAAATTTGTCTAGACAGTAAATAGAAATGGTGTGCGAATAATTTTGGTTAGCTTGTTTAAAATTGCCCCTCTCACTAGCAGGAATCAATTGGTCATCCTCTTGTCTATTTTATTTCCTACTTCCAAACTAATTAGTAATGTCTACATGAAACTCTTCTTTAGCCAGACTCTTTCTTGCTTCTGTATTTTATCGTTGTTGGTTTGTTTGTTTTTTGAGGCAGGGTCCCAGGTAGCCCAGGCTGGCCTGTAGTTTGCTGTGTGGGCAGAGTTGACCTTGAACTCTTGACAGTCCTCCTTTTGCCTCCTGAGTTTATGCAGTGCTGGGTATGGAACCCAAGGATTTGTGCTGTTGGGTTGAAGCGCTCTACCACTGAGGCACAGCCTTGGCCCTGTCCTACCTACTAGGCATTTCTCTGTTGCATTCCTGCTCACTCCCATGTTACAGGAGTGTGACTCAGCTTTGACTGCTTCCCAGAAGCCACCAGCTTCTTAAACCAGTGACAAGTTGAGTTTCAGTATCTGCTCAGGATGTGGGCACTTGCTGGCATCTTCCTTACATTTCTGCTTTCTCGTATGAAATAAACATGAGTTCCTCCCACAGAAACCCTTGTTCTTCCTTTATCCTTATTATTTTTTAATAATTTTATAATTAATTATTATTTTTAAAACTCATTCTAGTCAAAGTCATAGTCCTGGAAGGGGTGGGAACAGAAATTTTTGCCTTGGTGTCATGATAGAGCTCTTTCCCAACCAAACACTCTAATCCTTTGGAGTTGTGTGTTTGGCTGGCACGGGAAGAGCTCACGGGCTTTGCCAGCAAGAAGGCTGTGCTCTATATGGCACCGTGACATGGGGAGTTTATTCCAGGAATGTCTCCACCCTCATGAAAAAAGCTTTTTGGGTCCAGAGGAATAAGATTATAGTCCATGATAACTGTACTTGGATAATAATAATAATAAGCCCATTTTCCAAGCTCTTGAACCTGAAAAGGAGCTGAAAGGAAGACAGCAGGTAGGGGGAGTATAGGATGCAACATATGGAAGAGCATTTACCTAGTGTCAGAGCAAGGCCCAGAGTTCCGTGCTAGCTCAGAATGTCAGGGGTGGGAACAGGAATGAGTCGGGATCTGACCTGTCTGTGGTTTGGTATGGAACACCGGTCTGGCCTGGCGTGCTCACGAAAGGCTTGAGATTCATGTCTAGCCCCTTTCCTGCTACTGACAGACTATGACAGACTATGAGATGCCTCAGGGTTGGGTTGGTATAAAAGAAATCCTCACTTGGGCTAACCTTTTAAACTTAGCTAAAAATAACTGAACTCAAAGGCCTTTTCCCAAGGAACTTGGTGAAAGGAGACTTCTTTGGGGTTCTCTCTCTGTGAGAAGTCTGTGCAGAGGGCGTGCAAGGGATGTGAAATCTGGATCAAGAGGAACACACAGTCTGCTAGCTCGCGAATGCTGAGAACACTACAGTTGCAAAGCTGGGAACTAGACGGAGTGGCTGAGTGAGTGACAGAGGAGCTGTGCAGAGAGACTGTGTGGCCTCTGCTGTCTATGAAAGTTAGAGGGGAGTGGTCTTCCTTCCTTCCTTCCTTCCTTCCTTCCTTCCTTCCTTCCTTCCTTCCTTCCTTCCTTCCTTCCTTCGAGTGTCAAAGTGGACAAGGCCCTCCACTGAAGGTGGTGGCCTAAGCCTAAAAATGTGGGATGTGGTCAGTCAATTCCTTATTCTCCAAAGCTTTCTGCAGATCATGTACATTGCTAGCTCGTCGTATGTGTAATTTTGAAAAGGATGTCTGATATTAATTCTAGAGGGGTCATAAGGAGAGAGGTCGGGGAGAAGAGAGAGAGAGCTTTGCAATGCTGGTTGGATTTTTAGCACCATCTGAGTGTTTGATAACTGAACCTGTACAAAACACTGTCGTAGGCGTGGGTCTGAGCCCATGGGGCACCTATGGAAGCTTGCAGGTTCTTATATTGTAGAACAAAGCACTGGATCATGCCAGGGATAGTGGTGGATATGGGGACTGTTTATTAAGGGAGAAAAAGGCACGCCCTGGAATGGAAGTGGGCAAGAGAGAGGGAACAACACTGAGACCCCAGAGGGTGTCCCCCATTGTCTTGATGCCTCTTATGGTATTTACATAGCACCCATCTGTCTTCCCCATCCCCCAGTGTGACTGTCTTTGCCCAGGGTCTGCTCTTTCCCATGTGACTCCAGTGGAGAGGGGTTTCTAGTGTTCCTGCCAGCTGACTTCCTTCATGAGTTAGTCTTGCTGTCTCTTTGTCCACTCCCTCCCCTCCTGCCAATACTGACGGTAGACAGATGAATAGAAGCTGGGTCTAAAAATGAAGTACGTGTATTAGATGACCGCATAACAGAGAAGTGAGAACTTACGTCCTAGGTCTAGAACCTTCCTCACAGAGAAGAGAGGAGAGAGCACACAGCTTCATCTTCAATACAAGGGGCTCTTTCATAGCTAGTGAGTTCCTGGGAGGAGATTTGTGACCACCCAGGAAGAGAACAGGAACCTGGGAAAGCCCCTCCCTGTACTTGCCATCTTACAGATGCCCTCAGTTTGAAGTCCAAGACGGCATATTTTGGCACGGTAGCCCTGACCTCACTGGAGGTCTCCAGTTGTGCATCTGGAGAAACAGGCCTGTAACATGAGCACAGCTGGATGAAATTCCACAAACTATGATGCCGTAAAACAATCTCACACCAGTTTAGAATTAGGATAATAAAAGGGTTATTTATTTAAGGGGAAAACTTACAGATCACTGTCCTAAACAACAGTCCTCTGAACTCAAATAGAAACAGAATCTAGCAGCCGGAACAGGAGCTGGAAGCAAGAGAGTGGGGTGCACAGTTCCAGCTGCTTTTTAAACTACAAGAGACCACGCCCAAGTGGGCTGGTATCTTAAAGGGCTGAAGGAGCAGAATGTACTCCCACAGCAAAACTAAATACACCTGAACAGTAAGCATTCAGGTCAAGGTGCTGACATCCCCACCATCAAAGAACGGTCAGTCCCCTCGCCCTTCGAGATGTGGACTCCCGGGGTAACCACTGCCAGAGAGTCACATTGCCCTCCTGCACTGGTGGAGTCAACTGACTAGCCTGCTTTAGTGCCTTATTCCACACTGGTATTGAGAGCATTACATGCAGTAGTGATTTGTTCGTTCTGAGCACAATACTCAGTGTGACTAGTCCAGAAAGTACTTGCTGTACGCATGATAACATGATCTATTTCTAAGTTTCCGTGAGGATGAACATAACTTGGGCCTGCTTCTTAGTGACCATATAGACACTGTCTGTGGTTTAAATACCAGGCCTCATCCTCTGCTCTTTAGTTTTGCTAAGACTTTGTCTGTTTCTTAGAGTGGCTGTATTCACCTTTTGCTCTTCTGCCCACAGTGTGGGAAGGAGTCCCATTTATTTGATGATTTCACTTTGAGCTGCTAGAGAGTAAATCCAGAGCCCCATGTGTGCTACGCAAGTGCTCAACTGCTAAGCCACACCCCAGCACTCCATTTTTTTTCTTCCCAACTTTTATAAATAATCTGGGCCAGTTTTACATGCCCATCCCACCGCTGTAAATGGACAGTTTGATCAGTGCAGCCAAGCTTTAGGGCATTTTCTTGCCATGGATACTCACTCATACTCAACTTCTCTTCCTGTCTTCAACCCAGGCAACTCTAATCTCTTTCTCTCTTTCCTGTGGTGTTAGGATGAGGATTTATTCCTGTTCTGCTCTAGGTATCTGTTGATCATTCCTTTTTATTGCTGAGTTGATCCTCTATAATTTTTTTTGCTTGATAACATAGTCTCTCTGTGTGTATGTGAACGCATGTGCTCATTTCTACTTGCTTGTGTGTGTACCACGTCTATGCAAGTGGCCATATGGCCCAAAAGAGGGAATCAGTTCCCCTAGAACTGGAGTTTTCAGTTGGTGGTCATGAGCCACCATGTGGCTGCTGGGAATTGAACCTGAGCCTTTTGCAAGAGCAACCAATGTCCTTAACCACTGATCATCTCTCCCGCCCCTCTGTTTTTTAATAACAGCTTCATTGAGATTTAATTGATGTGCCATAAGGTTTATCATCGTTAAGTGTCTACTTCAGTGGCTTTAGTGTGACTAGCAAGTTGTATAGCCACCTCTACTGTCTGTTTCTAGAACACTTTCATCATTCTGCGAAACAGCAACATCCCCTTTAGCTACTATTCTTATTGCCCTTTCCATGATTTCCGCCCCACCCTTCCTCTCCCCCTGGCAGCCACAGATTTCCTTTCTGTCCGTCTAGGTTGGCCAGTTCTGGACATTCCTACCAGTAGGTCACAGAGCATCTCCGGCTTCTCTCACTTCATGTACGATGTGTGGGAGCAGGAATCGGGAGCGAGCGAGGCGATGTGGTCAGATAATGTAGCACTGCGTAGCCATGTTACAGTTTGTGTACTAGTGTATTGCTTGCTGGATATTTGGAGCTTCCCATTTCTCAGTTCTCGAGGGATTAGGGATGTTGCATTGAAGTCTTTGTGTTGGCATCTGTTTTCAGTTCCTTTAGATAGAGTCAGGCGTAGAGCATCCCATTGACACCAAATCTCTAGGTGTGACCGCCCTTACATTTCCACAGTGGCAACACCCATT